TCTCTCGATTAGTCTATCTATATAGAGAGCTCCTCCTTAATCAATCTATCTTATATACAATCATGTTATGTCTGTTTATTTATTTATTTAGTTGTAAGCATCGTTGTATTTAATTTTAGCGTCGTATTTCATTTAATTGTATTGTAGTTTTGTAGAACTGTATGTAGGATGGATTGATAATTATATGAAACTTGAAAAACTTGAAACTTAAGTGTATTATATGGTGGGACTATCAACCAAAAATAGAGTTTACATCCGCATATAAAAATTTTCTCAGCTAAGTCTACTGAGTTATCAGCAAATCAGTTAGTAACTTTGAGTATTTTAGGGTATAGATTCTTATGAAATTGGTGCTTTATAATTGCTTTGGGAAGTTGTATGGTATTTAAAAAATTGTATGGTTTCAAATCTCCAGTCCTAATTAACTGATTTAATGACTGGATTATATGTACTACTGATATCTTTATTACAAAAAGTAAAATGAAGTAATCCTTGACCAATCAAATATCAAACTTTTTTGAAAACTAGCAATAGCATAATCGCAAAAAGCTCTTTTGGTGTGCAGGTTCTTTAAAAAAGTAGGTCCTTGCAAGCTGGTTTCAGTTTAATATTTTTCCTTAAAAAAACACAACGTAGATGAACACAACAGCGGGGGCTGAATTCCGTATGAAAATTCTAGCGGATCTGGAAACTAACCCTAGAAGTACCTCTAGCAAAACAGAGAATGTCATACTTGATGACTTTTCTGGACAAATAGAGTTTGCAGTGGGATATAGCATTAATTTCTTGAATTTATCTTAAAAATTAAGAGATTAAAAACTGTGGTACTCTCTTTCCTCCATTTCTCTCCAGAAATCAAATACAAAATAGCAAGCTTCTTACAAAGAAAGTGAACGTTTGATCTTCACAATAATTCTACAATGTGAAGATGGCATGAAGTAGCGGTAACATTGCATACTGCAGTACTTTTCGTCCGGTTCAGAGTATAAGCGTTGAATAGTGGACAAAAGTTTCACATCCCAGTGCTCATTGAAAAACTCGTGCAATTCTATTGCTAAAGATTTTCTTATTATTCTTTTCTAATTTCTTTTTAAAGAAAAGTTATTTTGCAACCTGGAAAATGGCAAAATCGCGAATATCCGTTTATGAGCGCATGCGCTTTTAAGCAGTGTATTAGGATACTTTTAAATACCTAAAGATTTCAAAAACGAATTATGAACAATTCAAAATTGGGTTCTGCCAAATAACAGGTAACCAATAAATGCAGAAATAAATTATTGCATCTTTTAGGCTTTTGGGAAAATCATGAATAAGTTACCTTGAGACAATATCAGTGAATATTATAGAAATTCTTTAATTTGAATATCTCACCAAATCAGCAAGTTCCCCCCTCAATTTATCTTCAATCACAGACGAAAACAGATTGTACAGCCAGCTAGAAATAATAAATGGGAATGTCTGTTGAAAGGATGAAAGTCGTCGATGATATAATTTACGGTTTTAATTTGCAAGATATAATGAAGTTTTACATAAGATATTGAAGGATTAACTAAGAAACAACATGACGGACTAACACGTAAGGAAAATTTTTGAAAGAACATTACACTTGTTCAGAAAGGTACAAAACTATCCCTCTAGCAACTGTTGCAATGTTGAAACTGTTCGAGTTGCTCTTAGATGAGATTCGAGACTCCAACGTTGAGATAGAGTGATAGGGGCGGTCAAAGCTACTTATGTTACAATTTTATACTTGTATTTTCAAAAGAGAAAGTGTGTTCCAACAAATTTGTCAAATATTTTAGGTTCTAGAAGAAACTTTCAGAATATCATTATATTAAGAAAATTTACATTAAAGTCGTTAAATCAATAAGAAACATGAGCTCATGACTGTGTTCACAACTATTCACCTGGATTTTGAGCCCGAGAAATGCAAATCCAAGCTACCAACATCCGAATTACACCAGTTAACTGAAACATCTGGGTGTCCATTGGATGTTTTCCCTGCAAAAATATGCATAATTATGAATGCTACATAGGCTTTTACATCCTCTGTGACAAAATATATAAGAATATGGAATGGAATATATTCCTGTCATTATTCCTATCATCACACTATTTTGACGTAAGTCTGAACACTGTGGAGCGTTCTTCGCGCAAAATTTTTAATTGTCGTTGATATTCCTTTCATAACAAGGAATTGGAGTCATTGTTATAGTCGGTGCTGAGAATCAACACCCTACCCCCCCCCTCCCCCCCTTTGTTCAGTTTTAGTCACAAGCTCTCCTATATTGGTCGGTAATTCTACACACGGGTTTATTTATGGCAGTTGGCAGTTTTGCTTGGGACGGCAATAACCAAGCTTGAGGTCTCTCAAGCCAGGCTAGGCAGAACCATTCTATTTCAAGTCGATTGTGTTTCTCTAAAAAACCGATAAAATAAAACAAATTACTGAAGTCTGTCTTACTGAAGTCTGTCTTACTCCAGACGTCTTATTTAAATGTTTTAATGCAGTGAATTATTTCCCATACCATACATGCAACGAAGGTAGTAAAGATTCACAGCACTGGATTGCGTATTCTATTATCATACTGTCAAAAACCCTCGAGTGCCAGCAGATTCACAATAAGAATCGATGTAAAATGAATATGTATGCTCACCTATATGGAGGGAGAGCGAGAAGCTGACTCTGTTTGCAGTAGCTTGGAAACTAACCGTATCCCTTATTTTGATAAACCTAGCCAATGCAACAGAGAAATATATAAATGATAATATTTCGCTTGTCTCTTTAAGGGGAATCCTTTGATGGGATTTGTAAAATTGGACAGTTAACTCAGGTCTAAAACAAAAAGATATGGCAAATGTGAGGGCTATTAATTCCTGAAGTTAGTCGAAAAGAGGTGTAAAATTAGATACTAGAACATTACCATAAGATTTTCTGTCTATAGAAACATGTAAACAAATGTCGAGTAAAAAGTAAAAAAAAAGAAAAACACTAGCAGCATAAGGCTGAAAGGAGGGTCCTGTGTTAGAAAACCACCAGCCAAAATTCGGAAAAACTTGAAAAAATACTATTGTCTACAAACAGTCCTCGATAATGCCCGGGGGTTTTATGTCTAGACATCAAGTAGTTTTGGCAAAGTCAGAAACTCAACGATTTGACCCCACCGTCAACCCAATAATATTTGGTCATTAGAAATAAAAATACCTTCACGGAAAATTTTTAAAAATCATCAGCAAGTTACTTCTTTACGATCATTGGCACTGGCCTAGCAACAGCCCTATTTCTGGAAGGATACCCCGGATATGAGAATTCTCAACCACCAAGCAACATGTTTTTGCATTGCTTCTATGCAAAACTCTTCATTGCTTAGTTTACCTTGTTACCCTTTCTTCAAGCTTTGGGAACCAGAAAAATAGATAGCAGACCCCTTTAAACAGGATCTACAAAATTGTTAATGAGTAAAAGTTGATTGTGTACTGCAATGATGCAAAAAGGGCCTTTCTGTAATATCAATGGATGTGGCCTCACTAAATTTCCAAAAATCCTCCTTTTGTAAAAGAAATAGCTGATTGGGACATGTGGATAAATATTACGAAAAGGGAAAGAAACGAATCCTCCATTAAATAGCAACTGACCCGCCATTGCTCTTGTATTTGATACGCCATTGATCTTGTACAAGTACTATACTGTTTGATAGTAATAAATATCATACCATAGATGTTTCTCATAATGTAATTCACCAGAAAGACTGATTGAGATGTCAGCAACAGCAACTTTCAACCCTTTTCCATAATCAGGAGACATTGACTTGGATCCAACATTGAAATGTAGCACACGCAACCTGCGAGAGAGGAAAAAGTTAAAAAATTCAATGCTATCATGGGTAAAACTTTCTACGATGAAAAGTCCTGACTCCAAAATCCTGACTCGGTTTTGCAGGCCTAATGCCATATTACGCTTGAACATATAAAAGACGAACCAAACAGTCACCTTAACGAATAATTTAGAGTTACAAAGAATCTATGAGAACAAGCAAATTTTCAAGCACGCTAATTATTGAATGGGAAAATATACTGCGTTTACTGCTCCTTCCAAAGTGCCGTTCTGCATTGAAAAGCTGTCTGGGAGGCTGTGCCGTTTAAAAATCCCTAGAAGCTCCAGCTAAAAGCCTCCCCCCCCCCTCCCCAATGAAAAAAGAATTCATACAGCATCAATACCGATTTCTTTCTTTGTCACCTCAATATGGAAAATATCATCCAAATGCCATTGATTGTTTGATATTGTGTTAATAATTACTGATTAAGTATGATATTGTGTTAATAATCAGATGACTGCAATAACAACAAAACAAAACTAATAACAAAAATAATTTTACATCATGGCAACATCTTTCAGCAAAATAATTTTCACTTACTTGCGACCAGTAATATCGAAACCTCCACTGCCCCCAGAGAAATCTTTGATTGGTTTGTGTAGGATGTCATCCTGTAAGATCTTCAAAGATTCTTCGATTGCTGAAATGGAGATTTAGTAGTGAAATCTAATGTGATTTAGTAGTCAAAGTGCCCCGTAATGACCTGAAACTACTAGGAAAATCATCCAAAGCAATACAAGGCGTAAAACATTAACGTGAAGTCACATTGGCGATAACTATCCAAAGCCCTGCCCGATCACCAGAGGCATACAAGAGGGCCAGCCGGTTAGAGACCCTAAAGTTGGGAAACAGCCATTTGGGGACAAAATTGCTCATTATCGGACAAGTTCTGGAAAACACCAAATCGCGATTTCTGCGATCCGTAATCTGGCCTAATCATTTTTTCTTTTATTCCTTATGGCATTTTCCATTATTGATATAAAGTATGTCGTCCCTGTAATGTAATGGGTAACACCGTTGCCTCTCGTCATAGTGGGCAGACAAGTACCGGTTCAAGCCTACTGCTCGGACCTCACAATAGAAAAAATAAGAAAATCGAAATCAGGTAAGGAGCAAGGAAGGCCTAGGTATCTGGGAATCATAAAAAGAGACAAATAATCAAAACATCCTTAGCTTTGTAGATCGAAGAAAGCATATCTTCAAAGCTTCTGAGACAAAGGACAGACTTTGACAGGGTCCAGACAGCACTCATATTATTCGCCTTCTAACAACCTACATTACAAACAATTAAAAACATTTTCTCTATGTAACGCTTTCCTAAATATTTAGCACCTATGAGAAAAAAGATCAGAGTTCAACAAAAATGATGAAAAAACCGTTTCAAACTGATTTTCAGAATCTACCTTTACGCGTTGTTGAATCCGAATGTTTGCCAGAACCCACCATTATTTGTTCATGTTTACTTATGAAACATATCATAAACCTATGAAATTAAAAAGGTATATTCGTCTAGGTTGGATTGGGTTGGATTGGGTTGGATTGGGTTGGATTGGGTTGGATTGGGTTGGGTTGGGTTGGGTTGGTTTGGTTTGGTTTAGTTTGGTTTGGTTTGGTTTGTTTTGAGTTCGGCTTGGTTTCACTTGGTTTGGTTTGAGTTCGGTTTGGGTTGAGTTGGGTTTGGATTGAGTTGGTTTGGTTTGTTTCGTGTTGGTTTGGTTTTCTTTGAGTTTGGTTTGGGTTGAATTGGGTTTGGTTCGGTTCAATTTGCTTCGGTAAGGGTTTTGTTACGATTAGGGTTTTGTTTAGGTAGGGGTCATGGTCGGGGTCAAGGTTAGGGTTTAGGTAGGGGGTTTAGGTTAGGGTTTGGGTTGAGATTGGTTTGGGTTGAGTTCGGTTTGGGTTGAGTTGGTTTGGTTTCACTTGGTTTGGTTTGAGTTGGGTTTGGGTTGAGTTGGTTTGGGTTGAGTTGGGTTTGGATTGAGTTGGTTTGGTTTGTTTCGTGTTGGTTTGGTTTTGTTTGAGTTTGGTTTGGGTTGAGTTGGGATTGGGTTGAATTGGGTTTGGATTGAGTTGGTTTGGTTTGTTTCGTGTTGGTTTGGTTTTGTTTGAGTTTGGTTTGGGTTGAGTTGGTTTTGTTTGAGTTTGGTTTGGGTTGAGTTGGGATTGGGTTGAATTGGGTTTGGTTCGGTTCAATTTGCTTCGGTAAGGGTTTTGTTTCGATTAGGGTTTCGTTTAGGTAGGGGTCATGGTCGGGGTCAAGGTTAGGATTTAGGTAGGGGGTTTGGGTTGAGATTGGTTTTTCGAATGAGTAATGATTATTGTGTATGAAGTTCTAAAAATTACATACTTAAGAAACCCTTCAAAAACTTTAAACAAAATAACTATGCCATACAAAAGAAACCCTACTGAACTGGACCCAGAACCCCCGCCTTCCGAAAACATGGCCTTTATTTTTGCCGGATCAATTAGATTTTTACCTAATGCTTTAGTAGGCAGATCCATTTGATTTTTACATCATAAAAAGATGTTTGATTCGAATATATTCAAAAAAAGGGCTGACACAAAAATCCTTAAGGGATGGCTGCATTCGCGCGGGCTGCACGTCATAACGACGTCATGAACTGATTTTCATTGATGAATAAAACGATGAAGAATAATATCTTTCAGTTCCTATTTTTTCTTTCTTTACTGTTGTTTGTTGTTTATTGGAGTTCCGCTTCTTCACCATTAGGTGTCGCTGCTCTTTTTATCTCCTTCCATCCCTTCCTATCTTGGGCCAGTGTTCTCATTACTTCCAGATCTTCTTTGGTGTTGAGCTTTACCCGGTGACAGTAGTTATGTTCATCTGTAATGGGGTCTTTATTGTAGCAGGCATTCAGATCTTCATTCAGTACCTTTGGTAGAGTTGTTCTTGGTTTTCCCTGAATCCTTTGGCTTTTATTTTTGTGAAGTATAATTCCATGGCTTTAAATGCTGGATATTTCAATCTCTTCTCAAGATATGACCAAATAGTTCCCACCTCTGTTTCCTCATGTTGTATAATATTGGTTTTTCTCCCGTCATTTCATACAATTTCTCATTCGATATGCGTGTTGGATATCTTATTCCTAGAATTCTACGTAACTTCCCCCCGGTGTTGTGTATTCAATCTCTGTTGTAAATTTAATGAAACTCCCCATGTTCAACAGTTGTAGAGCAGTACTGACTTTACTAATGCTCTATATATCCTGATTTTCTTCTCAAGCTTTACTTTATTTTTCTTTAGATATATTGCATTGGTTTTGTTCATTGATGCTGTGGCTAACTGCTTTTTTCTATTTTTTCTTTGTAAGACAACACTTACTGATTAACTATTTCCTCGTATAATCAAACGGCTTTTCATTAACATACATAGTGTCACATAACTGCCATTACAACTTATGCAATAGACCCATCAGGTGCATCTGTAAGTGTGATTTTTCAATAGTTCGTTGATATAACTGTTACTATAACAAAAACAAACATTTTTCTTACCACTAATCTCGCCACATTCTCCATGGACAACGATATCGATCACAATTTGCACAATTCGACCCAATAAGTGATTTGAATGGCCTGACTAAATGGTTTCTCCTCTACCCATCACTGTGACGTCACAGCGGGAAATAAAATTTCGCAACGCAACTACAAAATATGCATACTTTGACACTCAATAAAAATAACCATCTAACTTATCGGAATTCTGTAGAAGAACAAGGGCGAAGGATTCTGTAGATTTCTTTTAAAATATTGGAATAGTAAATTTCCCCTGCATAAGCACTTTAAGACCCCCTCTTTAGCCTCTGATATCAAACAAAGAAAACATGCACATCTAGTGGTTCTCTTGACGTCTGTGATGATGATAAGACCATGTGCATTAAAAACGGCCAATGTAAAGGTTTTATTGTGCGCCTTAGAAGTCGAGAGGATACTGATGTTGATTCTTTCAAAGAAATCCCATGACTTTGTGGCCATAAAAATATAGGCATAAAATAATCGCGAAGCATTTTAGTGCGTTTTTCAAAGATGATGCTTTAGTCTAATAATGCTATCAACTCGAGCCACTGACAATCTCATCGACGTCGAGATCGTCAATGACAATCTCAACGAGAGTAATTTCTCACCGAGACCTTATATTCTGATAAATTTTCTTTATGAACATCTTCATAGAAAAGCCCAATCCTTCTTGCTACCGCTCTTTACTGAGCTCACACTACGTACCAGATATCTTCTTCGTACATAGCCATTGCGCCCCTATGTTTTCTCATTTTACCATTTTGGATTTTACACTTTATTCGCACATCAGTTTTTTAATTTTTACTTTCTATGCCTATCAAAACATTTTTCCCAGTGAAAAACTTCTCCATGTCAGCAAGATATTATCCTTATTTTATCTTGATGTCAGGTATAGCTAAATAAGCTCAGACTGTACAAAGCAAACAGAGGACGGATTAATCTTTGTCCAGTGGTGCGGCCTTACCAAAAAACATACTGTGCACCGAAGTTCGCACTATCTAGCGATTTGATTGGCTATATATATTGAAACAAAAGCTGTGGGAATCGGTGCGAACGTGCTACTGTGCACCGTAATACCCTAATTTTACTACATTTGTACCCTGTTGTTTTTTAGTCCGGATTCGAATCAGATTGAATCAAGATCGAGAATAGAATTAGAGATTGTGTTTAAGAACAAGCTGAGGCTGAGCTTCTGCAAAATGCAATTTTGAACAACGTTTTTCCTCAAAATCGAGGATTTTTAGCAATGTGTGGTGCTTTTTCGGTGAATTTTCAAACTTGTCAGCAAATTAAGGCTGTCTCACTCACTTTGTTGGCAAATGAGGCCTGAACACCTCCCTTAAGCGAAAAAGCTAGCAATAGCACTGCTTACACCCACTTAATATAAGAACAAATTAAGAACAATCCAGCCTCAGATTTTCGAAAAAATTAAGAACAGTCAGCCTGAACTTAAATTTACTGGTTCTTATAAAAAAAGGAGTGTATTACTTATAATTAGCTCTATATCAAGCAGAATTGGTCATTATAAAACCGGTTCTTATTTTTGGGGGCCTATCAACTTCTAACATTTCATCTTGTCGGAAGAAAAGCAAAATTGCATTTTCAAACTTTTTTCAGAGAAAATGCAACAAGAATTCAGGGGCGGAGCGGACCTAGACGGTCGCACCCACCGTTCGCACATGCGACAGTCAGCTTTTAATAATTTTAGATACCGTTTCAAAAGAGGTTTCTCCTTAAAATCAACTTTATCCAAATTTAGCTCTTATTGGCAAATTTCCCATTTGTGTTTTACATTTGCTCGGGAATTATTCTTCAGTTTTATTTGTTAACTAAAGACGGTGCATGAGCAGGAGATCCAGAGTCTGAATCATGCATGATTCTAGCCTGGCCATAAACATAAGCCAAATGTTAATTTGTTCTTAACTTTTGACCAGTTTTGAGGCTCGTGTTCTTATAAAATTGTTCTTATAAAAAAAGAGTGTATTATGCTTTAACTGACATTTAAATCACCACAAGCAATCAGTGCCTGACAAACCAATTACCCCCTAATTTTGGGATTTGACCCCCTGTTTCTCGGAAACGCCCCCTCAAACACTTGATCAACATTCAAACTCGTAATCTACGCCCAAAACTACAGTAGAAAAGTTGGTGTGGTAAATTCTCCGCTCGGGTGACAATAGCCCCCCTCCAGCCTGGACTACAGTAGGTTGATTTAAAACAGCGTTTATTATTGAAACATGACATCAGGTTGAGCTGAGTATCTAAACATTCGTGCCACAGGCGAGAGATGTCAGGAACCCATTTCAGAGGCTTGGTGGTGTGGAAGACCTGTAGGAATCGGCAATTTGGCTGTTTGTTTCGATTTCAGTGCAGCATTATTTGTATAGAAAACCGTTCAGTAAATTGGATGCAAACAGCCAACTCCAGCTATGTTCAATAACCCATTGTTTTCTTAACAGTGAGTGTTCTTTGCATCACCACGACAAAAATGCATATAAGAGCTTCCACTTTCAGTTTCATGAACTGTTTATATCCTGATTAATGAGAGATCATGAATACGTTATTCAGTGCTTATTCAGCGTCCATTATATAATAATCAGTGCTTTCATTTTCCAAAAGACTTCCTTATTTTCTTTCTATTTATATTGACAGAAAGGGGTACCTCCCCTCCGTTCCATAGGCTGCAAACACCACAGAATGGGTCACAATGCTATCACTATTGTAGCCATCATGTGCTTTCTATTCTATTCAAATTATTGTTAAACGCACGAAGGCCAAGTGTCTCAACTTTAGTAAAAACAAAAACTTTCGTTTTAGTTTATTAAATTATGTTCTTGGTACTGGAAAGAAAATTCGGGAAAAAATAACAATGCAAGTGGGCTTCATCGTAACAAGGAGCTTTCAATTTCTTAACTCCTCGCTTTCACTTTCAGCAAAAGGAGAGGAGAACAATAGCCCGGTAAGCTCAAAAGCCCGGTAATCTCAATAGCCCGGTAATCTCAGTACCGGGATTCCCCTTTCCGTATTACGTCACTGGGATTTCACCTTGTGACATTTCGTGACACTTTCTGCATATTGTTTTGTGGTACCGGAAGAGAAGTTTGCATGCATCTGTAAAATCCTTACGTAACACCCGACGCTGACTTGAAGAACTTTCGTTGGCTCTTTCCGTGCAATAAGGCCTAATAGCATACGTTTATCATTCGACATATCAATGTAACTTATTACTTTAACTTTAATTTCGCATTTCCAATTGCTGATGTAAAAGGCCGGGGGTAAATTGAACCAGGGACTGATCCACTTTTAGGGATACCCTTACCCGGTTATAAGATTTCTGAAAACAACTGTAAGTAGCATGGGAGAGACTGAAAAACCAAATCTATGGAAATCAATGCATTTTTGAGACCCATATTCAGGTAATTTGAAGACTTCCTACCTCCTCATATGGGTGGCACGAGCACGACGCCGTTTAGCTGCAAATAAGAGCTACCTCCCCCTCCCCACCTCCCCGGCAGGGATGAAAAGGTCTCCGGTCGATGCTTCGTGGAATAAAGAATGAAAGCAAAATAACAGAACTCAAGAGCTGCTGACCATCTAACTAGAATAAAAAAATAATTCGATTGATAATTCGAAGTCATCAAAATATCTTCTCTAGCTCACCATAGTCCAATCCCTTTTGCGTCAAACGCAGTTGTATACCTCTCTTCTCGCTGCTCTGCCCAACAACTAAACCGGCAAAAATGATTACCAAAAAGCTGAAGCTCGCCACCATGTTTCCTGTAAAGAGATCTCCCTCAAGAAATCCAATTGCTCTTGCAAAGTGACGACCTAGTGTTTTATAGCGCTGTATTTTGACATGTGACTAGTTCTCCAAACTCTCGCGGCGTTTAGCCGTAGCCCTACTGTTATTACCACAATCGCTATTGACTTTAGGGCTCGCGTCACAGTAGGACCGGGGTGGCCATGACCCCCCACTGTTTTGCGAAAAAGTAGTTTTGAAGCTGCAGTAAAAAGGGTAAAAAGCTTTGGATTCTCGTCGTCGTATTGCTTTGTACCTGTATATCTTTCATTTTAAAATCTCATTGCAAGATTCACAGAATCCGGCGGACAGCCTATCCTGCGGTTCTTCCTTCTCACACATTTAAAAAGCCTTGGCTCCCTACTTTTGCTAGCCTTGCCCCCCCCCCCCACTTTCAAATTCGTGGCGCGGGCTCTAGACTATGACTACATATTGGCTATGATTAACCGTAGAACATTTTTAACTAAACCGGGTGGATTTCCTTTGAATTTGTATTTATAGAAAACACTTAACTCTCATGATGCAAGCAAAAACAAACCGTAAATAAACCAAAAAAGACAGCCGAACTTCTTATCTCCAGCCCAGTGTTCAGAATTTTTAAATATACAGGGGGCAGGAATTTCGTTGTTAAAAGGCCGACATTTTCACAAACTTAACCTCTCCTTTTACAGGAAGGCCAGAGTAGCTGGAAAATGCTTGTTTTGCTGCAAACGTTAGGTTCCGTTTCCTTTTCAGCGGCCTACAGGTGGCCAATGGCTAGGATGGAAAGGGTTCCGGGTTCTATCAGTGGTTCTACAAGGTTGACCGCTCCAGGGAAGTATATCAACTTCCGCATGCTGGTTTCTCGAACTCGCCATGCGTGCAATATTTAGCTGCAAACATAAATTCGCAATGATATAGAAGCGCCGAAGGCGCTAGATGTCTAACTCGGGTCATGCTGCGTACTGCCGAGTGAGGCAAATTTGTGAACTTGCGCCATATTAAGTAGTGCCAAAAAGCGAGCTGCAATAGGGTTCAGTATGGAAAATTGCTTGTTTTAATGAATGATTTTCTCGTGGCTCACAACTATTTCAGTGCCTTTTCTGATGCAGGTAGTTAGAGGAGATATAAATCAAAAACACATAAAAATTTTTTGGGGTTTTTAAAGAGAATTTTAAAAATTATGGCTCTTTTAGTTTACGCAGTTACGGGAGGAATATGGCAGTGGCTTGTCGTGTTTTTATGAGTTGAAAAAATATATGTTTGCAATTTTTATCTTCATATAGATTAAAAAGACTTTTTAAGTCTATTACTCAATAATATAGACCATTTTAGATATATAATTCTTGAATTTTTCTGTCTGTCGTTTAGAACCTAATACTGTATGGCATGAGTAGGACAGTGCGAATGTTTTATATTTAGTTTGTCAAAATGAATTTGTAGAAAAGAAATTTGATATGAATCAAATTTCTTTCTTTCCTCTTGGTAAGGCCAAATTAGAAATCTTTGTCGTGAAAGTGTACTCCGAAGGTATTTTATAGGCCTAAAGATACGGGGAGGGACGCATTGTGCTGAAGAATAATTACAAGCAACGAGTGTGGTCAAATACTTAATGCCCTAGACTGATAATATTGCGATTAAAGTCCCAATACATGCGCTTCAAACTACCCAAACCCTGGTTTTCGTTATTTCAGCCATGTGTTCAATCTCATGTGTACCCTGGGTCCCAGAGCCACAAAATTTCGAGTGCGTAAACAGAATGACAAGCAGAGAAGCGAATGAGCGTACTATTATGCCCAGGGTCTCTGACTGTCAGAGACAGTGTTGTGGGAACGAAATTCATATTGGGGTGGGGGGGGCGACTGCTCATTGTATTTATTTCCACTTAGTACACTGTTATACAAGACATAAGGCTTAGGCTGCAATTATTGGGAGGGGGCTTCAGTAAACGAAAATAACGTAAAATTCAAAACAGGAAATTCAGAAGAGAGATGACAAGGGGTCGTCACTATCATCTGGTTACAGAGATCTGTATCAGGATTTAACAATGCTAAGAAGATTTGTTGACAGAAAGAGGAAGCAAAAGAGCAATAAGAGACTTTTTTCAAGATTTCAAGTTTATAGAATGTCAGAATTACTGCCATTTGCAAATTGCTACCAGCAGCATCGATCAAGTGAAAACAACAACTGGTGGAAATAGAGACCCTGAAAACAGATGATCTCAAGGAACAAGCTCTTAGAGAAGAAACATATGGAGAGGAAATCTGTGACTTTCAAGGAGGGGATTCGCAAAGAGAGAAAGGACCCCAAAGTCGACATCGACACCCTTTATAAAAGTGTGAAAGCTTGCCAACTGTGCATACCCTGCGCATTCAAAACTTTGTACCGACGCTCATTTTTATTTTTTTTATTTCATTTTATTATATTTATATCTTTTATCATATATAACAATTTTATAAGAATATGAGCATCAAAACTGGTCAAAAGTTGAGATCAAATTAGGAACAAGCTAAGGCTGAGTTACTGTTTAATGCATTTTTGAACAACATTTTATCCCAAAACGAGGATTTTTAGCCATGTGTGGTTGCTTTTCGGTGAATATTCAATCTTGTCTTCAAATGAAGGTTGTCTGACTCACTTTGCTGGCAAATAATCCCTGAACACCTCCCAAGAGCGGAAAAGCTAGCAATCGCACTGCTTACACCCTATTAATTTAAGAACAAATTAAGGACAATCCACCCTCGGATTTTTGCGAAAATTAAGAACAGTCAGCCTGAACATAAACTTACTGGTTTTTATAAAAAAATTTATGAATACAACATGCACCTAGCAGCATACCCTTCCCTCTACAACGCGTATAAATGCTTGATGACACTTAGCTCCACATAAGTTTCCTTTGAAAGATTATTCAGCGCTACTGATAATTTCAAGAAGAGAAAACTTTCCACTTGATTACGAGCAAGTCATTGACCAATTTGCTGATTCATTTGTACTTCTTCGAAAAGAATTGAAACTCTTAGAATTTAAATAAGTTTTGATCTTGATTTTTAACTCTACATGGGATTTTAAAGCCTGTTTACACGAGAGGAAAGGTATGGATCCAATTGGGTCCGAATTTATGAGTTAAAGTCGATATACTGCTGCTGTTTAGCGTATTGCTTTATTATCAATTTTTATTGAATCAATCGTATTCTAAGCCACATTTTTAGTGGGTGTGGCTTAATTTTTCCCACCAAGCCCTAAACCTGCGATTTTGACGCAAGACCGCCCCTGGTTTTGAAGCTGCTTATATCTTAGCCATAGTGCTGGACCTCTGGATCAGCCCGTCACTTAATATGGTCTCTCTCGCACATCAGATTCTTGATGCTTGGAGAAATCCATGGTACCAGTGCATGCCCCGTCTTAGCGGTCCTTTTTTTCAACGGGGCATGCACATCCAAGACAGCGAGAAAGAGATCGTAGAAATTGCTAGCCATCCTATTAGAGTCATACGATCTACATGACATAGCCATCTCCCATTCAATACTACGCAAGTCATTAAGGAAAGAGTCACGGTCATAGGCTATGGGACAGGGAGCTGTGGGGGGGCTGATGCCCCCCTTAGATTCTGGCAGCTGATTTTTTCGGGCAAAATTCGGGCAAGAGCCTTCTCCAAAAGCAAAAAGGATAAGAAAGACTAAATTTTGAAAATTCGGGCAAGAGCCTTCTCCAAAAGCAAAAAATCAAGTGGTCGTAATCGCGAGCCCTTTCAGAAGATTAACTCTAGCGTTTAATTTGTTAATACCGTATGTTATATAGTGGTCTGTAATACCGATTTTTACGACCAATACATTACAGAGGTTGTTGGGTCTGTTTGAAGAAAGGTGATCTATTAACTAAAAAGTTTTATTAGGCTCTTTATCTTTTAGTTAAGTGAGCTTCTGCTAGATGCCCAGAGCATTATAGGGCAACTGATAAATTTATACTGAATGTTTTATCTTCGACAAGATCAAATTACGAAACTTACAGCAATGCTGACATTTACAGGAGATGTTTTGTTTTTGGTTCTGGGCATTTCGCTTTGTTTTAAGTTTTGATAAGAGAGTCTTTCCGATTGTTATACGCGAAAATTCACATTTGTGAACAAAGCAGGAATCTAGGATAGCCGCAAAAAGACATTTTCACAAATCCCAAAATTCAATACTGCACATTTTCGAAATAAATATTGTACGGTTTTAAATTAATACTGAACAAAGTGTGTAATACTGCACACTAAAGCCCTGGCCAAACGAGCCAACATTTAACCCAACATCTTTCCCAACAATGTTGGGAGTTGTTAGGAACGCTGGTCAAACGATCCAACAATTCACCCAACATTTAGCACAACCGTTTTTGGGATACTTTTTGGGATTGAGTCCAAGACAACCTAAGCCTGCCTTCCCTGATCTTGAAAGCAATGCTTTTCTTTTCCCTAAAACTCTATTCATCTCCTTTACGGCTTTGTCGTACTCATCTTTACTCACTAAATCTCTTTCTTCGTACTCTTCCATTAACCAATATTCTTCAGTCGTCCAAATCTATTCTACGCTCTTCATCTTAAAATTTTGATCTCTGCTTCACGAACTCGAGCTTGGCGCGCAGCGCTATTCACTTTTAAAATTTGTTTACAGCGCTTGCGTGAAGCCAACAAATGTTGGGCAACCCGGCCAAACGAGCCAACAACGCAAAACAGCACCTTGAACAATAGGGATTATATTACCATCCAACAGCCGCCAACATTTTTGACCAGTTTCAAATCGATCCAACAATTCAGCCAACATCTTTCCCAACAATGTTGGGTGACCCAACATGGTGGCCAAACGACCCAGCATTTGAGCCAACATGCGAAAAAAGCGTGTTGGCTGAAATGTTGGGTGAAATGTTGGCTCGTTTGGCCGGGGCTTAAAATAAGCCCTGGAAAGAGCATTATCATTCAAGAAAGGAACATGCATAAATTACATAACAAAATATAGGCAACTTTGGAAAAATTCTCTTCTCCCTAAATTATCATCTAATTTGCATCATTTATTGATCATTGT